CAGCAGGATCACCCACCAGAACCAGCAAGCTTCCGGACAAGCAGGTATCAGCAGCAGCCCGCCAGAGACTGCCCGTCCCTCCCAGCTGCAGAGAACACAGGCTCAACATCTCAGGGTGGCTCAGGGTCTCCAAGATATGGGGCCAAAGACGAGCACCGCAGAAATCAGAGCTGGGCCAGCCCTGGAAATCATACAGCCCACACTCTCCTGGGACAGAGAAGACAATCTAGGCCCAGAAAGGGAAAAGGACTAGCCCAGACTCACAGGGAAGGTAGGAATGGGGTCAGGGCTGGAGCCTGCTTTGTATCTGAACAACCCACTTGGTGATTTTCATATTTTGTGTCCTTGTAGGAAGGCATGGAGCTATTAAAGTTCAAGGAGGGGGCTCCTCACGTATGTAGTCTCTTCATTCATTCATTCATCCATCCATTCAATAGTGCTGCATGGTGGAAGGAAGGGAAGCAGAGATAGTCATATCATGGTTTCCGACCATTCATTCATTCTCTGAATACTAATAGAGCACCTATTAATAGTGTTGTCCCTGAAGGGTGAAGATAGAGCTCTGACTAGAAACTAAGGAGACTCTCCCTTATTTAACTGTGCCTGCTTAGGGGTGCCGTCCTTACAGTGGTCCCTTGGAAAGCTGGGGATGTCTTTGAGAACTCTGATTTTAGAATCACCTGTAGATCCGATGTAAGCCAGTAGAAAGTCAGTGTGAGCACTTTTTAATTATCTCTATTTTTAAAATATTTTTTAGCAAGATATGATCATCTCTCACCACTCAAACACACACCCAGATAATGCCTTCTATTAAAAACAAAAATCACGTCAGCTCTCACATGCCTAAGAAGCATGGACTCTGGCATCAGACACGCCCAAGTTTGGACCCTGAGCCCGCCTGGCCTGGTTGTGTAATCATAGCCAAATGACTTAACCTTTTTAAGCTTCAATTTATTGTCTGAGAAAGAGAGATGATGATACGTCTTGTCACATTTCTGTGAGGTTTAGAGATGATGTACTTACAAGGTCTAAGGTAGCGCCCTGTACAGAGACAGAGCTCAATAAATGGTGACTTTATGGTGTCTAACTCCCTAGTGAAGGGGCTGTGGGATTTTACATACACCTGGATAACCTTAGCAGCCAGGCCCAAGTGTTTAGGCTTTGCACACCCTGGATGGGTGACATCGCATGTTTGTTAAAACAAAGTACAGAATGGCAGGGTCCTCGTTTTCTCATTATGCCTCAGAGAACCACATGACTTCGAGAGCCTCTCGTGCAGCTCCTCACCAACTGGTGGGGGGGACTGAGGCCCCCTAGAGGGAGAAGGAGGTCTCCTAGTCAGCCCAGCAAGTGAGTGGCAGCCGGTACCAGTCCCTGGAGGCAGCTGACGGAGCTGATTGAAATCTGCAGGTCCCAAGACTGTCACAAGATTGGACTAAAGGCTCAGGTACTCACAGGCCCCTGAGGGCAGGGGCCGCCACCACTCCTGATTACTCCAGCTTTACTCTGTTCAAGAAAGGATGGGCAGTGGACACGGCTGCTAGGAGAAGGTGCTAACAGGGCAGAGACGAGGCTTCCCTCCTCTTTCTTTCTCAGTCCCGGGGCCGGCCCAGACTCTTTCCCTCTATCTAGGTAGTCATTTTACCCTCTCAGTAACCTCCCACATGTAGAGTCTCCTCACGTCTTCCCCAAACCAGCTCTATTGAGAAAGACTGGTCACTAACGGCCCCATTGGACAGACAGGAAAACCAGTTATACCCAAATCACTGGCTTTCAAGCCAGAGCTGGGACTGAAATCTAGAGGCAAATCTCCTTTCAGCCCACGAGGCCGAGCGGTCTGTAACACATCAGGGAAATCTCTATAGGAGCTGCCTTCACCATCCCTGCCTCGGCCCGGTGGCCAAAAGAAATAATTTCTCCATAGGTATACATTTTCTAAGCAGTAAACTTTTAAGCCCTCAAGTCCTAAAAGGGAGAAAGAAACGGAAGAAAGGACTGAAGGGAGGATTACAAGAGGATACAAAATACCTAGTTACATGGGTGGCAGGAAGAGTGCATCCTTCATTCAGAGCCAGGCAGACTGGTTCTGTTCCTTATTAGCCACGTGACCTTGGGCAAGTCACCCAACCTTTCTGACTGCCCACCTTAGAAAACCCCAGGGCTGTGAGAATCCAACAAAATGGAAAAGCATACGGAGCTTCCTGCAGAGTGCCAGGCACATGGAATTGATTACAACCGTCCCATGGAATGTCAGGGCTAGAAGGGACTTGGATGATGACCTAATCCTGGTGTCTCATTTCACAGAAGGGAAAAACAAGGCCCAGAGAGGGGAACTGACTTGCCCAAGGTCACACAGCAAACTCAAGGTGATGTTGGGGCTCGCACACTCCGTTTATATTAAAATCACAGATTAGGACCAATGAGCCCAATCTTCCAAGCTGTGCAAAGGTGGAAGGAACTTTTTCAGTGGTTCCCCAATCCAGGGAGTTCCAAAACGCAAGCTTCCTTTCTCGACTTAGCCAGCAAAAAAATGCGGTATTTCGACCCAGAGGAAAATATTAAAATTTGAAAAATACTCAAAACTAAAATCCCAGGTCTTAATAAAAAGGTACTCCCTTTTAAGGCTTCTATTTCCCGCCTTCCTCTCTCCTTGCCCCCCCTACCAAAAAACTATTTTGCAATAACAGTAATGCTGAAAGGAAAGAAAAAATAAAAATCTGATGCACTTAACAGATATTTTGGTACAATAATGCATCACAGATGTTCATATCAAACTGTGCACACGCGCATACAATTTTACCGAGAAGGCTGTTGCATTTCTGACGTTGGGGTGGGGGATCCCTAACAACCCCATCCACCCAAGCTCTGCAATCCCTCCCCTCCCAGTTCGCCCACAGCCGCTCATGGGGATGGAGGAGAGATTTCATCACCTCACTCCAAAATGATAACAGGACAAATTGTCGGGGCCGGACACTCTGGCAGGTGGTGAAGGGTGTGGAGATTAGGGAACCAAGAGGAGACCTGTTTCCTTTTGTTTGGGACTGGCTTCCTGCAGCCCTCTGGACGGGCTGGACCCAAGAACAGCGCTAAGAGCGGGCCCAGGCTGGAGACGGGGTGGGCACGTTTGTGAAACCAGAGATTTGAGTCCGTTTGATCTTCAAACATGGGCTTTGGAGACTGTCAGCGGGCTCCTCACTGGCCGATGAATGGCTCTCGGGAACTTTTCCTAAAACATAACCTCACACGCTTTCCAGCAAATGTTTGCAACCTACCAACGCCGTCATTCCGTTGAACAGCAGTGTTTCCAGACCCCGGAGAAAGATAGTGTTGTTGTTTTAAGGGAGACAGATTAAAGCCAGGGGCTGTTTAACCAGGGGGTTGGTGTGCTCCCTTCAGCACTCGTGGATTCCTCTGTGGTTGGTACAAAGAGGGTGTTGAGATGATGGTGGATCCCCCACCTCCCCAGCCTAAAAAAGATATCGAGGCCAGACATGAGGCCTCCGAACAGAGGGGCCTCCCACAAGCCTGCCTCCTCCAAAATGAGATGGGCGGTGAGCGCTGGGGAACCCGACACAGATGATATCAGCTCCCGAGGCTGGCAGGGGAAAGTCACTTCAGAGGGAGAAAGCCGGTATGTTCAGAGGAATCAGCGCGGGGCCAGAGAATGCACAGGATTTTCCCCCGTGGAGAAGGAGTCAGGCGTAGTCAGAACCCTGCGGGGCGTGACTAACTGCCCCAATATTCCTGCCACCAGGGCCCTCTGGGTAAGGACTCCACAATTATGGGAGAGCCAGCAGGAGGACCGACAAACCCGCCTTTCATTTGGCCGGCAAATCAATCTGGCTTCTTACCTCCCTGGGGACAATATTGCATTTCCCCTGGAAAAACAAAGGCCAGAGATCTCTGAAGGGGGATCAGTTTCTGCTGCTGTTTCCCTGGTGAAGAGCTTGCAACATCTCAGGAGCAGCAAGCAGCTCGGTCCCAGTGGTAGTTGCTGGCCTGGCCAATTTATGGGGCCGTGTCCGTCACAGAGGAGCACGTCTCCCGGGCCCACGCCTCACTCCTCACTGGGGCATCGGCCCAAGCCCCATCTGGGGGCCTCTGTGCAGAAGCCACCGGCCCTGATGCGAGTCCCCACCCCAGAGAGACAGCCTGTTCTCAAGGCACAGATGTGAACTCATTGTTCCCAGGGCCTCGGAGTTGAGTTTGGGGCCAGTGAGCGGCGAGTGACCTCTGCCCATGGAAACAGGGCTTTTAATGACATTTTGCTGGATCAGGTCTCTGGCAGCCCGAGACTTTAAACCTCCTAGGCTCGCCCCTTCTCCCTGCCTCCACTCCTAGGTTCAGAAATCAGAACTGTCAACCTTTAAGTGAACACATTTCTCTGAAATTATTAACCCCAAAACTATCCTGGCTGGCTTTCTCCCAGCCTAGGGAGGCAGTCCGAGGGTCGTCTGGAGCTTTGCAAAGGTCCGGGAAACGACAGTGCTTCACATCAACAGCAAGCCATAGACCCCAGGTCCACTCACCACACCTGCCCTGCCCCCAGGCCCAGGCACCAGGACTCCCTCTCAAGTCCCCTGTTGACTCGCTGCTGCCTGGATGTGCCCACACAGCAGCCCCAGGACAGCCTCTTGATCCTGAGATCCGGGGCCTCGAAGGCAAACTTTCCGCTCCCTCTTTTTGTTTTTCATCACTCGGATGCTCCCAGGGAAATTCTTTCTGCTCAGGCAAGCACGGCAGGTGGGGAGTGTATATCCCCGACAGGTAACACCACCGAGAGGGAAGCCAACACCCGAACTCTTACCCCCAAATCCAGCACATACCGGTTTTCCCTCAGACCACCCCAAAAGCAGCTGGAGAGCCACTCCACAGTCCAAAAGACCCTCTCTCTTTGGGGGAATGGCAGGCCCTGGCTGCCAGAGAAGGAAGACAATCAGAGAAGAAGACCAAGGGGCACAGGGGCTGCCCAGCTCAGGGGCCAGGGGCCGCGTGCTTACCTGGGAGAAGTTGAGCCCATTGAGTGGATGGCACTGCTCCTCCACCCGCTCCACGGCCCCTGTGCTCTTCTTCATCTTCTCGGCCTGCTGGGCCAGGTACAGGTCGAGCACGGGCACGCCCCGGGAACGCACGTCGGTCTCCGTGAGCGAGTTCACCATCAGCATCACCCACACGGGCCTCTTGCGCTCCCAGTTGCCCGCGATGGCATTGAACAGGTAGTCAGCGTACAGCCCCTTGCCCCTCTGCGCCGGCGTCATCCAGGAGGGCATCATCAGCTTCACGTAGTCCAGGTGGCGCTTCAGGCGCCAGTAGAGCTCGCGGGGCAGCACGTCCTGCAGGTTCTCCCCGTGGGGCAGCAGCTGGCAGCTGGCCAGCGCTGTGATGGTGTAGGGGTCCGTCAGGTCCAGCTCGAAGTAGACACGGGCACTGGCCTGGAAGGCTGCCTTGGAGTTGTCCGGGATGAAGTCCCAGACGCGGGTGTAGGGGACGTGGATGGTGCCAAACAAGTAGGCCGGGGGGTCACGCCGAATAGTCCACAGAAAGGAGTTGAGGTCCCTTTGCTGCAGGAGGAGAGGGGAAGGAAGGCAGTGAGGCTGGTGGCAGCAGAGTAAACCAAGGTTAACACCGAGGGGGCAGGAGGAGGTGGGGATGGCAGGCAGACACCTACATGGGGCCCTGGGAAAGAGCAAGGGCTTTGGAAGCTGAAATGCCCACAGACAAATCCTTTGCTTTGTCTGAGCTGTATGATCTTGAGCACACTGCTTCACTTCCACAGACTCAGTTTCCCCATCTATAAATGGGGGGGGGGGGTGAGGGGGTGAGATAAGCTACCTCAGGGGTCAATGGGAGAATAAAAACACACAATATATCTAAATAAGAGCTAAGAGCAGTGCCAGGCACAGAGGAAGGGGCAATGAAGGAAGCTCTCATTCTGATTTGCTTTCACTGTTTGTGCCCAGGTCTGCCACACCACCTGAGAATATTCAGGCTTGGGCCAAGCCAAACCTTCACCAGTGGTGTGTTTGATGGGGAGGGTGGGGAGAGGGGGAGTAAGAGTACTGCTCTGGTAAGAAGGGAGGAAGTCATATAACTGAAATCCAACCATTAGAAGATACTTGCCAAGAGCACTTTGAAAGCAGAACACCTATTAAAAATAGCACACCTATTTAAACAGCGACTTCCCATTCATCAGGGTGGATACAGTTTTCTTTTTGGAGGGCAGATCTGGGTGTCAGCTACTCTGCTCCACCAGCTGAAACCACAGATGAGAAAGTGCTTTAAAAGCTGCAGGCTACGTGAAGTCTCAGGCCCTGGCCTGGGGGAGGAGGATGCCATGGAATCGGTACCAAGAAATGTGCACAGTCCGGGTGCTTGCCGGCTGCTCTCCTAAATAGGTGCACCTGGTCTCCAATCCTATTCTCTGTCATCTATGACCTAAGCTCTGACAAGAGTGTGTGTAGGGGTGAGCACTGAGGGGCATGGAGACAAGGGTCATTTCTCCAGATCCAGTTTAGGGTCAGGGGTTAAGGGGCATGAGAAAGCAATTGTCATTTCTCAGAGGCCAAGTCATTTTCCAACCAGAGAAATCCCTGGACTGTCTGTCCACGTGGCACCTGCAAACTTTAGGTCAACTCAGCATTTCTCTACCTGATTTGAGCACAATGAAAAGTATGTTTCAGGGCGGGTGGAGGAAATGGCTCCTTACTTTACTAACAACCAACAACTGTAATAGACCGGAGCTACAGGCTGGCTCTGAGCGCCCTGCAGGTCACCGAGCTCCGGGCTGCAGCAGGAGTCAGGCCCATGGAGGTGCACCTTGTCCAAGGTCAACTACCTTTCTAACAAGGAAGCCAGTGAGGACCCTACAAGATCATCTCCTGCTCCCCTGGCCTCCAATTCAGGGTTATTTTCAACGTATTAATTTACACTGTGAGGGGGTATACTGCGGGAAATCACGAGATTCCTTGGTTTGGAAAGAAAATTAGGAGAACCAATAATTACTCAACCCCAAGGAAATATTAGGACAGCATCTATTTCCTGGCACTGCTTTTCCTGTCCTCTCAAGTAGGGCATTTGGAAGAGTGGGTGCTGGGGTCTGGGTTGGAAAGGGAGAGAAACGTGGAAAACTGCACTAGGGAAAAAGTTTGTCTTAGGTCAGAGTGGAGCGCAGGGGATCCAGGGAGGCTGGGAGGGGGCAGCGTGTGAATGAGAGAGAAGGGTTTGATGCAAAGGAATGGTAGAAACTGAGAGTCACAGTAGGCAGGGAGAAAACTGGAGGGTAAAGACAGGATAGAGGTAAGAAAGGGGCACAGAGGAACGATCCGAGTAGGACTAAAAGTTGAGGAGAGCCCAAGAGCGTCAGTGTGAGCTGGAGGAGCGCCCATCCAGGCTCCCCGGCGGAGCTGGAGCCGGGGGCGGCAGAAGCTAGGGAAGGGCGCCCCGAGGCAGCACCTGGT